CCTTGGTTTCCGACGAAACTACACAAATTTCCACAATGCGACAGGTCACTCGTTTACGATGACTAAGGAGAGATTTCACGAAATGAAATAATATCACTAATTCATGGAGTCGTGTGCAGAGAGGAGAGGGGGAAATGTCTGATTATCACGTCGCGACGATACCCAAGATACCATGTATAAGCATCTCGCCATTGGGGTACTTAGTACTTGACCTAACTAATAATACTGATACCAATATATAGATTTCATGTAATGTCAATACTACTACGAGGTACACACTTCTGACGAGGCTGACTGTACCCGTGTGCTGATCCCAATTCTGATTTCCTTGGCATCTAGTATCCTGGACAGACGAAGGACTGGTGACCACTTGTACTTTCATGTGATTGGGACCCCGTGACCTGTGCCGCTCGACTTTCCCTTCTTATTCTGCGCGAACTTGGCGTCAGCAAACCTTTGTTCCGAATGGACACAAATCGACCAGCCCGCCTTTTTTTTTCATCAAAGTTGCCATCCACCACGGAAGTGCTCGACGGGTGTAATCAATCTTTATCCCATCGAGATCCTGCAGAATAGGGGACAAGCGGGACTGGTGAAAGGGAAAAAGGGAGCCATCACCGTTGCTTTCCCCAGAAAACAGTCTCCCAGCCACCACAGATTCCCAAGGTTTGCTCTACCCAGTACCTTTTTTCCACTCCCATATCATGGGTGGAACTTTTTGGCTTTGGGGGCTTGAGTCCGAGTTGTCACAGAGTGGACACAAGCTGACGCCAGACCCCTTTCTCGCTTCGAACTTGACTAAGCCTCCTTCAACTTAGCACGATGGGCTCTTCGGAGATTTTTTTGGGCTCATGAGGTGCAGTAGTGTGGGATGAATCGCAAAAAGGGGATTTTACCCTTTTTGACCTCAGACTGTCAAAGGGGAAGACGTATGAGCAGAATTTGAATTGTCTTCAAACCCTAGGAAGGTGAGTTTTGAGTTGTACGCAAGTGGAAAGGAGAAGCTCGGCACTTTTGTTCTCCGTATTGAGGAGTTGTATCACCCTGTACTTTGCACAAAAGCAAAGAAGTCGCCTTTGTGGTCTTGACTGAGAATCCGTTATCGAGAGTGATGGGCCTCCACTTCTTCCCTAGAAAGGAACCGCGAGAAGAGGTGCATCTCGCTTTTGGTCAATAGTGCGTCGCTGAGATACACAAGCGAGAAGTTACTACACCATCTTTTGCACCAGCTTTGCACGACTCGATGAAGCTTGCAGCATAGCTAACCATTCGCTAGCCATGTTACCGTTCCAGTTGAGATTGCGGAAAGACGGTTTTCGAAGGAGATCGACCGCAGAGCAGATGAATCAGGTACCATATTGCTGTGCAGATCTCGTTCGAATCTCATTGCAACTGAGAACTACATCTCGCCTGCTTGTATGGAGTAACCAGAAGGTGATCCCGATTTGAAGGTTGTTTTACCGGGTTCGCCATGTTTCTGAGGTCTGTTCTGAATTATATTCCTTGTTCAACATTCCGCTGGAGACAAACAACATTGAACGGACACTTGCCGTGGATAACGGACAAGTCGCAACAGGCCAAGTTTTCTCCGCGTTGTCGAGAATGGCAAGGTCGGAAAGCCGATCAGGTCGCTCTTGCACCAGCGAGACTGGGGCTTAGGTATTGCACAGAACTCATACCTCAGTGTTCAAAGCGAGGACAGTAGCATCCATCAAACTCCACCCTTCTCCCAGAAGTCTTCATCTACCTAGGTCCTTTCTCGGTACTTAGGTAGTCTATGTGCCAAGTATGCATTTAGGGCTTCCTCTATCTTGGAATTCTACCACAAGCGAAGTTGGCAGCTTGCTTCTGCTTGGAGAAACAAAATCGGCCTGGTTTCGGTCAGGACGGTGCACAGCAGCAGTCTCGACCAAAGCCTCGGCCTCATGCAGACCGCAAATCTCAAACTGCGCTCACCGGGGACCAACCGCAAGTTATCATCCGTCGTTGTCCGAAGGGTTGGAGATGAGGTCGTGCAATCCGCGGCGGCGAGAGGCCCTGACAGCAGCGTGTGAAGACGGCGACTGGCAACACCAACGGTAGGTCAAACACAGACAAAGCCCTCTGGCCGACTCCAGGTTAAATTGGACAACTCACGCCGGCGGCTACGAATGAGGTCAAGGCCGACTTGGCCAAAGAAATCACTCAGGTCGCGTGAAGTAGTAAAATACTGTACCTCGACGGTGCAGGGCCGATCCGAGAGAACACCTCGTACCCCCGATAACGTCGATGTCAGGGGCTGCGGGCAGAGGACACTTGGACGAATGGGCAACAGAGCGCAGGGTGGATTTTGAAGTCGTTGTTTCAAATCATGGGCGACGGCACCAGCGGGGGGTTTCTTGCAGATGAAGTTTCCAATGAGTTTGGCGCGTTCCTGGCGCCTTCGAGGCCAATGGGCCGCTTAAGATGAGCTAATCTGACGCCGGTGCAGGCGATGGGGGCGCTCGAGGTCGACAGAGGGGCCCGCTCTGCACAGTAGGTGCCCTTAGCGGGCCCCTCGGGAAATTTGGCATGGCTGACATTTGCTGGCATTTGCTGGCAGTGGAGGACAGGCCTGCACCAGGCCCGCAACTAGCCAGGCTTAACCACTTAGCTACCCAGAAGGTAGTATGGGTCCACTCGCCCTCGATGGAGACTTCGTTGACACCTCTATCCACCGCTTCTCCACGATCAACGAACCCTCATCCCAACTCAAATCAGCCAGACAACCACTGGGATCGTTGGTGCTGTCACTTGTCGACACCAGCGCCATGCCTGCACGCAATCTGCCCGCCTCTGTGACGATGCAGGACGATGCTACCGCTGCCAGGCCAGTGCTCCACCCATGCCCTTGCCCAGCCAAACCAGCCCATCAGATACCCGGTACGCTTTTGGCCGCCACATATACTCTCGTGCTTCCCTACTCCTCTCTATCTGTTGAGCCTCTCCTTCCCCCATACCGGAATCCCAGGATAGCATATTGCTGTCGTCCGAGTTGCTGAGCTCCCTCTCAGTTCCTGCCCTAACTCATTCACCTTCATTCGAGCAGCGCTCGCTCAGCTCGCCTTGCGCGACGCCAAACACTCTTTGAGACACAGCATTCGAGATTTCGAAGCCGCGATCGGACAGCGGCCCCAGGTGCTCCTCAGAACCAAATTCCGGCTCTACGCACACCGGTCGATGCGATAGGATCGTTGCAAGACACTCGAATCAAGATGCGCATCAGCTCAGCCATCGCAGCGGTTGCGCTGTTGCTTGCACCAGCAGCTCTTGCTGATCTACCTCCCGGGGACTGGTCGGGGGAGACGACCATCACAGTCACATCCTCCTACTCGACCACCCTTACCGTCACCAAGTATCTCACATATGCCAACGCAACAACTACAAGCAATTCCAGCGGCTATTTTGCCCACCCCACCGGCTGGAATGCCACCTCCACTACCCCTACGGGCGCAACCACAGTCAACAAGCCGACATTGACCGCCCCGGCTACTTCTACCCTTGCTATCTCGCCGCCTATCGCATCTGCAACTGGCGCGGCGAGCGCACAGGAAATCAACTTCGCAATGGCCGCCCTGGCGGGCGCCGCTGCCGTTTTCTTGGGCTCATTATAGCCCTAGCCCTCAGACATCCATCGACATGCCCAGCACGGCGCAGTATCCAGTCGATATTGTTTCTTTTCTTTCCTCATGTTTTTTGACTGAGTCAATGTTCACGTCACGAGCACCAGCATGCTCATTTATACTTGTCTGGATTACAACACTTTGATCTCTGTGAGAGTTTGAGGCACGTTACGGAGGACTGACTGTCGGGATCCTGAATGTGCCGCAGCCGGTACTTTCACGAATTACCAACGTGTCAAAGTTGCAAATTGGGAGAACACGCTATCCACGCCCGGGGCGCAGATGAGTCGGACCGCCAGCCACTGTACAGGACTTTGGTTTCAAGCATGAGTGTTGGGAAACGGCGGTTCTTGCCTTTTCCCCGACCAAGTGGATGGAGACCGGGGGGGAGGGGGGATGGTTCTTGGGAGGGGGTTGAGGGGATACAACACTGAGAATCTACGATGATGACGGATATGAACAGCCAGTCCCACACCCGGAGAGCATGCAAGAGAGTCTCGGTCTCATTTTACGAAATGGTGGTGAATCATCTGGGAAGCATTTTTCCTCCACGACTCCATCTGTACAGATAGTTAGGTAGTGCAGCCTTGTAATTTGGATTAAGAAACGTTATGAAACGCAGAACGTCTCATTGCCTCGTGCCTTTGATTTTACGAACACCAGGTCTACCCGCGCCTGGTGGCGGGGACGTATCCACCCTGTAGACGACTTGCTGCGAACAGCGACGTGGGCACGAGACCTTCTGCTATTCAGGACCAGGTTCTGTCTACCGGGTAATACTGTGGACGTTGTCAGATGTATACCATGATTTTGCAGAAACGCTCGTGAATGAGGCCAAGCCACCAACCACCGGGGTGGGGAGAGGTGCTAGTATTACGTACCAAGTGCACATCGAGGCATTGCTTTGCACTTGTTATACAGTCTGTCATTCATTGACATTGTTAACGTCTTTCTTGGTGAGTGAGTGATAGGTGTGTGTTGTTGGAGGTGGACAGCATCTTTGGCGTTTGGCGTTTAGCTCTTGCTGGGGAAGCGAAGATGGTGGAATGAGGTCACGTGGCGATGGTGATGTCAATGGAGGTCCAAGACTTGTGACTTCTTTCCAAACTCGCCGACAGGACGCGTGCTGCCCTGCCACGCTTCCTCAACTCCACGCGTGTCATTTTCCCACCCACGTGCCTAACGTACCAGCGAGCATTTTTTTGATCTCTGTTTGTCTTTTGCGGACTCGACGGCGTTGTTGGCTGTTTTTTTGTGTTTTGTTATTTTCATCTACTCCTCCATCGCTGACTGAATTTTCCCGACGATCGACCATTGCCTGGCGAGTTAAAGAGAGCTCCAGAAACGTCATATTTCACGATGGACGAACCTGATCTTCCTCCTCTCTCGCAGTTCACTCGAGCCACGGCTCCAACTCGAGCACCGCCTCCGCTAACCCCGGTTCTCGCGCGGAAGAGGACTCGTTCTGACCACGACGACGAGCCCGCCGCCTCTAGCGATCCCGCTCTTTTCTCCAGCGACGAGACTGCGCCTGGGGCCGAGAACTATGTCTCGGGCAAGAGGAATAAACGTACCTATAAGGGGTCTTGGTGGGATCGGCACCCGGCCGACGCTACAGACAAGGGGAGTCATAGGGAAAAGCGCCAATTTAAGAGAAATCTCGACTCCGGGGTGTTTATGGGCAGTGAGAGTGAGGATCCGCCCTCGAGTGATTCAATCACGATGGAAGACGAGTTTTTGAGGGATCAGCAAAGGGTTATGGACAATCAGCAAAAGGCCTGGGACAACTACCAAAAGGCTACGGACGAGAATCAACAGGTGCAACCCGCCACTTCCTGGCCAGATAGGGGCGATGGAAGCAAGCTGAGAGCGAACTTAGCTTCCGTAATTACGGCTCGGGTTCCCAGAGAGCATGAGGAGGTATGTGCGGTTATTAGGCAGTGTCTCGAGCGAGGAAAGGAGGATGTGGACTTGACGTATGTGACCCAGTTCGAAGACCAAACACGAATCGTGCTGACAAGGTTAGATCCATGTCTCTGTCGAGCCTACCCGCTGAAATCACGTCCCTCCAAACACTTAGCAAACAAGACGAGATAACTCCAGGGATGCTGCATATTGGGACCAACCTTGAACCCCATTTGCGCCTTTTCTTGGGCAACAATTGCTTCACGAGAATGCCAAGTCCTATCTTCGAGCTTCGGAACCTCCGAGAATTGTCTCTCCGCAACAATAATCTCACATCCATCCCGGCTGCAATAGGGGAATTGGTCAATCTCGTGTCTTTGAATATTGCTGGAAATCAATTGTCAGAGCTTCCCACCGAGATCCTGGACCTGATCACTGAAGGTCGCTTGAGAGAGCTTCGATTACACCCAAATCCTTGGATGCAGCCTGATGGGATGGGTCTTGAGGAATCCTTCTCCTGGACGAGGATATTAGGGAAGATACTTCTTCGCAAGAAGAATAGCGCCCACACTATGAAAAAGACGTATTGGCCGACGGAGAATCCTCAGGTCCCAACACTCACCGAATTAGCTCTCCGTCAGCTCTCCAAATTTGACCCTTTAGGCGACATAGATCTCGGGGCCTATATGCCATCAAACACTCCTGAATCTGTCTTGAACAATCTGAAGCTACTTGGACAGAATCCCACGCGCCGATGCAACGCATGCAATAGGCCAATCGTGTTGGCGCGAGAAGAATGGTTTGAATTTTGGAGTATCGACGAGGTCTCCGAGAGCGATGTTGTTCATGTTGGTATGCCGGCGGATATCCTGGTGCCCTTCCGCAGAATACGGTGCTGGGATTGCTGCAGAGGATCCAAGATGAGTAGCGCCGCTTGGGAGGCACTGCTGGGTGGGTCTCGTAAGATTTCGAAAGTGAGGCGCTGCAGATAGTCATGGAGAGTTACCAGAGTTCTCTGCGAGTAGTGTTACTCTTTCAATTCACCAAAGTAACTTAAGGTGCTTGTTGGGCCTTCGGAATGGGGGACTCTCCAATTTGACTTGACTGACCCTATCTCTATCCCAAGGACTGTCTTCACCACGAAATACCAAATATGAAATGGATGCCGGATCCTGTTGTTCAAGCCGTTGGGGGGAGATAGAGGGGGATATATTAGTAGGTCTTCAACTTAAACTTGATACCTAGTACTCCCATCCATCTCAAGTTTGAGTGCCATCTTTAGTCTATCCGTGTTCTAACTATCGTCTCTTTACGCGTGATCTGTCTCAAAGATATTTCCCGGCATCCAATAAATCATGTTGTCGACGCCTCAGTCAGCCTTGTCAATCAATCTCTACGGGGGAAGGGAAAGAAAAGAGAGAGATAACACCGAGCGATGTCTTTGGTGTTCCTAGCGACTGTCTATCTCGTCGGCGACCGCGGCGTCCTACCAATGAAACCGGGCCTTGGACATTCTCTGAATCAATCGTTCTAATTGATTATCAGCTCGTCCATAGTCAGGAATGGTATAAAATCAAAAGCAAAAGGTTCTCCGGTCCCCCCAAAGTCCTGTTGTTATGTATTCCGTGACAGTCCCTCCTCCTCCTCCTCCTCCTCCTCCTCCTCTTCTTCTTCTTCTTCTTCTTCTTCTTCCTCCTCCTCCGAGTTCAAGATATTGTGATTCTGGAGAAACTCCAAGTCTCTGTCTCAGCGTTCAGATCACCTCTCTGTTGATTCGTGAGTGGCTGCTCGGGCTGGGAAGGCCTTGCTTCCGGCGATTCATGGTCCTTCGAACGTCCCTCGGGGAGCTGTTCTTTGTCAACGAAAAGCCACATCGGGCAACTGGAATCGGGAAACCCATGACGCTCGTAGCCACGAAAGACCATACGCAACAAAAGTCCGAATACCGCCTGCATGTCCTGGGTGTACTTCAGGCGACTGATCCCCCCAATCGTTCACACCCTGTATGAACGAAATCCCGGACTTCCCCAGGCGTGTGAAATTCCACCGAAAACTTCGACTGTGCGAGCTATGGCCGTCTGAACAATCAGGTCAGCCAGTGCCGTCATGACGTCTTGTTTGTCGATTTCTTGGAAAATCGTTCGCATTCATATGTTTCCAGTACGGCATTGTAGCGATTGCGCTGGCAGTGTGGATTCCCCATCCGATGAGCTGGCATATAAGAGTCCACACAACGCTCGAAATACGCGACAACTTTGGCGATCTGCTTCAAAGTAACGCCAGCAGACTTCCAGCTGGGGTATATGGAGACATGGACGTCCGTTCTGCATGACTCAGAGTCGAAAACCTCAAAATATCTTTCGAGGCAAGTCCACACTCGGTGATACTCGTCGAATAACCTGAATTCGACGTTCCAATCCGTGGGAGAGACGAGTTCGATGCCTCAGAGGCTAGCCTTCCGATCTCCTCAAACAGATCCGTCTGGCGCTATCAGCTATTCTTCGTAGGGAGATCGCTTCTTACTGTCATAGCGAATATGGTTCGCTACTTCGAACTCGCCGGATAAAGCTTCGCTGAGCATTTGAACGGCTTCATTCCACTCGAGACACTTCTGATAAGGCTTGGCCACAATTTCCATCTCCGTACCGAAGGAAATGTCCAACAAGGCCATGGTCCAACCATGCTCTAGGCGGTCTCCGTAAGCCAACTGTACGGCCACCTCCTTCATATCCTCTAGCCTCTTCGCTTCTTGGAACACTTAAGTTTGCACAGGAAGCTCCAGGTTCTGGACAAACTGTTTCATATCCATTTCGGCCATGCTACCTTCGAACCGGGTCCCGTAGTGTCTTTCACAGGTCGGCCTTCCATTAAGGATATGGCCATGTTGAAGTGGTTCGGAATACTAGTGGCATTCTCCTTACATTTTAGAATAGATATTACAATCTACAGTGCCTTATTTTTGACCTTTTTTAGTTGATGACCTATTCAGCAACACGTAGCACACGATATACCAAGGCAATTTGCTTAACAATCACGTGAAACTTTTAACAAAGTCCTCGTGCGTTTTCGGGAGCTGCGTACGTCGTTTCGACCTCTTTAAATATCGTGCCAATGGACCAATAAGGACAAGTACAGCACTTACTGAGGCAATATCAAATATGCCGATCCGGCTGCGCTTTCTTGCCTCGGTCAAAGGGTACCATTACCCCTTGGGAGGAGACTCGAGTCGAGCTTTGGGAAAGGCTCTGGTTCCGGACTGCTCCTGGTGCATAAGTAGCGATATGATGAAGAACTCGCCTCGATGGTTAGTGCGAGGAAACCTTCCATGAACCTACGACATGCTCAGGCTACTTCGAGGCTTGCCCCGGCACTCATGTGTGAGCCGTGCCTGCGCATTTGAGAGGGAAAGAAAAAGGGATACAGGCGGGGTAGTCTCGAAGAGGCCTTGCGCACATCTCGTGGTTCTAGCTGGTGCAACGTGCTGCCCGCCGGTTGGACTACTGCAATGCAGGGCGCAGCACATAAATTGGTGGAAGATGTGATCGAGACGCGTTCAACCAACGTGGCCACTGACACCGACACCGTCGAAAGCCGGACGGACAGGGGGCTACGTGACTGTGCCTCCACATTGCGTCTTCAAAAAGAAGGGTGAGCTGGGCGTGGATTTACCTTCTCTTAGTGCGAAGTGCCTTGAAAACAGATGTCTAGCTGAGAGGCAAGTGTAGCTGATAGCTGGGAAGCCAGATGGGGCCCTGGGCATCCCTGGTAGCCTCAATGTGCTGCATAGGGTGCTACTTATGGGTGCTGATTGCTGAATGAGGCTAGTCAAACCTCAACTTAAAATGGCCTCGCTAAGACCGACCGTATTTAGCGAATAGGGTTTTGTGGGGCGATTAATCCGGTAGTGTAGCATCGCTGTAATCACGTGGCAGGCTTGTTCCCAAGGGAGGACACGTCGACTCTGTAAGTATGGGACGACATTTCGAAATGGGACGCAATGGAAAGATGCATGACGATCAATGGTCAACGTTCAGCGATCAGCGACCAACAATCAAAGCTTATTGTGGAAATGGAGGCGGCTGGCTAATCAGGAGGACCTAGCTCGCCAGTTAGGTAGCTCGGCGAAGAATCTGTCTTGTCTATCGGTCAATCATTCCAGCAGATTCGGAGGATTGACTGTGCTTGTCCTTTCTTCTTCTTTGCCTTTGCGAAAAGTTCCAAAGCGAGCTTTTCCTGGCTAGGCTGGCGAGCCAGCTGGCCAGCCGCTTGACCGATTCATCCACAGAGTTGGAGGCCACACCAGCCACGAGGGAAAGAGACGGCCTGCACAGCGAAGGCTTTCGACATGCTTCTTTCTCCGAGTTCTTCGCTCTTCGCTCTTTGCACTCGCACTTGCACTTGTCGATAAAATCCTGACTGCCAAAGGCTCTGATATCGAGCAAAGAAGAAGGGGCAAAGAGGCTGATTTATGACCCCAGGGGTGCGGAAGGCCGGTTGTACGCTTTTGCTCGTGCCTTGTTTCCTTCCTCCCTCCCTTCCTCTCCCTCGGCTAGAGAAAGAGGGCCGTGATATCGATCGTGAAGGCTTAGGAAGATGGCATGCTCGCCGCGTTACGGTATACCTTTCTTGCCTTCCCTGTTTCTTTTTATCTGCTTTTGCTCATTTCTGTCCGTCGCCATGCCCATAAGCTTGATTCCGAAACGGGTTTTGATCGCCATAGGCGTGGTCTACCATTTTGGACTTCGCGATGATTCGCCGTTCAATCTCCGCCTTCCAATTATCTGTCGTGCATCTCTGCCGCTCCGACAAATGCTTCGCGTTATCTCCTGGATTGGTGCTCAGGCTCTCTCGCGACTTCGGATCATTAAAGTATACGTCTTCCATCCACGAGTTTAGCTCGGTGATGGTGCATTTGTCCGCAAAACCGATTCTGTCCGTTGTGGGAGATTTGGGCGATTTGGCGAACGCAGCTTTCACCTTTCTGATTGGGGAGAGTCTCTCCTTGGGCTTTGACATCTTTCCCTTTTGCTGTCCTTTGTAATTAAAGCAAGCCGCTAAAAAGCCGCGGGCGTTGTTGAGGCGTTCTCAAGGCGTTGGAAATCTGGTTCAGATGGTATTGGCAGATGGTATTTCATATCGGGTGGGTGACATGGCCCTCCCGGATGGACCTCATCGAAGTCTGACTGCTGGTTGATCTGCTTGAGGCACGAGCTGAAGTGAAATCCCAAATCTCAGCCAGCTACGTCGTGGTTAGATGTTGTGCTCAAGCCCAGTGTAGAGCTTGAAGGACGTAAGCGAACGTATCCTGACGACAACCCAGCCGCTGTAGCAAACAGAAAGCGAGACCTGTGCGCCAGTCGAGGAATGATATTTGTCGGGCTTAGTGGCTTGGAGATCGGTGAGGCAAGTTCAATAGCTGTGTGAGAGGTGAATAGGTAACAGTCTCCGTGGAAGGTGAGTCTTCGTAGAGGTGTCTAGGAGACGGTCAAAGAGTAGTTCTGGTAGACTCGCTAAGTAGTCAGTAGATGGTTATCAGTTTGGTTCAAAGACCAGCATTCTTGTCGGTTCGCAACACCGCCATCACCTGGTATCGATTGTTCGATCTGGGTATACAGGCATCGATGCGTTGTCACAGATCTTGACGCTGTGGAACATGTCACAAGCATACTAGGCTCACAAGGTACTGTCCTCGGCCAAAATCATCACATCGACGAGAAGGATGACCATCAATGTTCGAAATTGTAATGAAGCGATGTGCATTCGACCGATTCCGGTCTATGGGTATCTCGAGTCGTAACATCGTAATGTCAATGAAAATCGTGGATCCTGCCAAGCCGGTCGAAAATCAACGTTCAAAAAAGCCACCGTCGCTCATCTCCTCATCTTGCTCATTGTCAAGATCCGCTGGATTGATGATGCCATCGTCATCGAGCCACGAAGGTCTCGTTTCCTCCAGCTGGATTCCGTTCCCACTGCGCATCCCGGCCTCTTCCTTTCCGCCAAGCGAGGCAAGCTCCTTTTCAAGTCGCTTGTCGGTGGTCAACTTGCCTTCGCGTAGAGCTTGCAGCTTTGCCTCTCCTTCTTCCATCAACTTCTCGACTTCATACCACATTGGCGGTTTATCACCAGTCGCAGAGCGAACGACATTGCTCAATTGGTCGGCGAAATGGCGAAACTCCTCTTGCTGATCCTCATCAAAGTTCCCAACCTCTCCCTTGTCCAGTTTTAGCTTCTGCTTCTTTTTGACCTTTTCCTCCTGAACGAACAAGCTGATGTACTTGTCTCCCAACGGTGCGTACTTGGTGTAATTGATATCCACCTCGGCAACGTGTATGAGCTTCTCGAGTTTACTTTTGTATCCCGGTTCCTGGTATTCCTCAGAATCTCTTCCCTTGAGCAATTTCTTGAGTACTCTTTCTGCTTTCTTTCGCTCCATAAAGCGGACAAAGTGGTAGCGTTGTAAATTCTTTCTAGCATCCTGTGCGAGTTGAGATTTTCTCTGGTCGAAGAGCAACGCAGCTAGTTCTCGCTCCTTCTCTTGTCGCACTGTCCCAGGCAGCTCTCGCGATGCTAACAACCTGCGTAGAGAGTGTATCTTTGTCGACGGGTTCGTGGCTCGCTCATGCTTTGTTTTTGAGACCGCAGACCGGACGGGTGGCAGGCCCATTCCATCTCGATTGGAAGCGTTCCCGCGACCGTCACGATCCAAATCTTGCTCGGGATGGTTCACCTCGCTGGTTCGATCTTGTGGTGGGCGATAGGAATCATATTGAGAACGAGTTGGTCTGTAGCGATGGCCAGTGGATGGGCGTGGAGTTCTGGATTTTGCCATGTTGGATATTTAGCATTTCAGCTAAAGACCTGGGAGTTAGTCTCAAGGGGAAAACCGTGCCGTCTACGGGAGCAGCAAGGAATATTTAAACGGCAACGAATATCTCGGGCTGAAAGTGAAATTCCTCCGGCAAAAGTTCTGCCGCTTTTCACCGCCTTGACCGTCGCGTGCCAAGGACTTTCTTCTAACCCTTTTTCGGACAGTTAGTTGGACTTCATCCATTTTGCTCTGTACAGTCACCCGTATTATGTTGCTTTTAAAAGGCTGTGCGATCTGTATTGACTGAAGTGTGAGACCACTTATATGGTGGCATTGTTGCCATGCAGTGGATGGGATGAAGAAATAGGCATTCCAAGCGGAAGCCCTACCACTTCAACAGCGACAGGATGGAGACCGCGATTCGCTTCTCCCAAAACTCCCTTCCCGGAAACCCGCAAAGATTTTTGTATGTCGATGTCGTCGGGAAGTCATTCAGGTTGTGCAACATCACCAGCCAGACCAAAAAGAATTTCAGATATGAAACTATTCATGCCTCCACCAAGGTCCCGGCATTCCGCGCATTCGACTGGCACCCCGTCAATGAAGATCTTGTTGTTGTAGGTCAGGCTGGGGGAGAAGCTACTCTTTTGAACATAGCAGAGGGGCAACAAGACTCTCTATCTTTTCAAGTCAGGAGCCAGCGCCTTTGCAACGCCGTGGCTCTCAATTCCCAAAATCTTTTGGCCGCAGGTCTCGACAAAGTAAGGACAGATTTTTGTCTGAATATCTGGGATTTCAATCAGCGACTACCTGCATCGGGGTCAAAGGGCTTTTCGAAGAATTATTCGGACCCGCTCCACAAGTTGGCGACCGGAGAACCCATCACCAGTTTGAAGTTCTTTCAGGACGATCCTTTGCTATTGGTTGCGGGAGTTAAAGGCCAATTTGTCAGGCTGTATGATTTGAGGGAGCCATCCATTGGCAATGGATTACAATTTGCTACTCGATGTGTCCATAACCTGGCCATCGACTGGCTTGATGAGAACTACTTTGCGTCTTGCTATCCGACAAATGATCCGTCGATATGTGTTTGGGATCGGAGAATGATCAGTCGTGTCAACGCACCGCAACTAGGTTTCGCCGGAGGCTCACACAATGAGAGCCGCCAGCCTGAGCTATCCCTGGAACTGAAAGGCGTGGTCGAAAGTCCCGGTGTAATTTGGAGCGTGAGGTTCTCTAAAGCTGAGCGAGGTTGTTTGGGCGTTCTTTCCAGTACTGGGCATCTAAAAGTCTACAACTTAGGCAAAGACTTCTCCTCGGAGACATACCGGTTTGAACGTGACGGAGGTCATGATCTCTCATGGGAGACCAGCGCACCGCAAGAAATCTTTCTCGATCGAGCGCAGGACCTCGAGAGGCCACATACAAACCCGTCTTTACCAATAGATGAGAAGTCGAGAATCGTGTCCTTCGACTTCACGACAGCCACGACAAAGATGAGGCAATCGAAGATGTTGACACTGGATGGACAGGGTCAAGTTAAGCTCACATCCCCAAGCCCTCCTCCAGGCCCTGTAGCTCTCTCTTCGGCTGGATATCTGTGTAAAGGGAGCAATTTCGTCGAACAATCACCCACTGCTGCTACGGAACCAGGAACCCTGATCGACCAAGTCCGCCGCCGAGCTCAGCCCCGAAACGTTCTCAGACAAACTTTCAAGCAATCACGACAGAACAGGACGATTTCCGACACAAAAAGAATGTCGAGTCTAGATGATCAGGCATGGTACGCGGATCTAGGGTTTTACGAAAAGGACGTGCCATTGCCGGACCTCATGGTATTAATCTCTATCCAGCGGCTGCGTTGTGAAGCAGGTTATCTGCTTAACCCATCCAAGAACAAAGCGATCGTCTCAGATTCGCATTGGCTACAATCTTTCTGGGCTTGGGTGGAACGTGCCGCGAAGATATCCAAGAACGGCAATATGGCACAAGATAATTTCGATCTGTCTTTCGTTGGTGTTTACGGTCTTTGGATGGAAGACATCGATCCCAAGCATCGAAAACTCGGTCAGAGCCCTAATAAACTTGGCAAAATCATTGAGAACCTAGTCCGACGCTTGAACATACCCAGCATCAACAGAATGACGACCGAATACACTGCAAACAGACTTATCTGCCTCCATTCCGCTGGCTTAGCATGGTCATCCGATGAGCTCGACCTGATTGTGAAACGACTAGTGACCAAAAACCAACACACCAAAGCCGCAGCATTAGCTCTGTTCGCAATGGATCGTAACCTCGCCTATAAGGCTCTCCGCAGCAAAACTGCTAATCAGTCCCATAAAATGTTGGCCATGGCAATTGCAGGGGCATTCAAGAAAGCTCGAAGTGACGACGCTGGAACGATGAGTCCTGATGAGTCGGATGCGCAAGATGACTGGGTTGACGCGATTTCGTCTCTTAGCGAAGAGTTGACTGATCCCTATGCCCGCGCGATCCTGGCATATGTCAAAACTGGAGATTGGTCAAATGTAGTTGCCGAAGAGTCTCTTCCTCTTAAATACCGCATCTGCATCGCTTTGCGACACTTTGACGACTCGAAATTGACAAACTACATCTCTCAAGCGACCAAGGATGCTGTGACGGCAGGAGATATTGAAGGTGTCATTCTGACTGGAACGGCAACGCAGCCTGCCTTTAGCCTTATGAGCAGCTATGTTCAGCGCTTCGGTGACCTGCAGACAGCGGTATTAGCACTGGCCGCGACTGTTCCACGATATTTGGATGACAAAACAGTGCTTTGCAAGTTCAATGCCTGGAAAGATGCCTATAGCCACATGATGAACAGTTGGAATCTGAAGTTTGATAGAGTTCGATTTGACATTGCTTGCCAAAATGCCGCCAGAGACGAAACAGGGAGACCGCTCATACCGCCGGCAAAGCAACAAGTACGTCTTGTCTGTGGATTTTGCGCACAGGGTATCGCACATTTGGCTGGGGTGGACGGAGAAAATGCACCAGGCCACAAAGTTGTGGAAACAGCTCGGCACCCGCTCACCAAGGAGAAAGCTGCTGCCGTTGGAATCGTTTGCCCTAAATGCGAACGTCATTTACCTCGTTGTGGTGTTTGTGACCTTTGGCTTGGGATTCCTGACGAATCGTATCTGCCATGGTATGGGCCTCAACAGGCTTCAAAGCACCAGGCTGGAAAACCAAGTCTTGATCTCAGCGCGAGCGTTGCGGGCAGTGTCCAGACGACACTAGGACCCGACACCATTCCAGGACTAACCGCCAAGGGAACCAGCTCGCCTCGGCCGAGAAATTCAGTACAAATGAACTCGAAGATCTCAACGAGTGACTCCTCAACAAGGACGACCGTTCCTGTTACCCAGGCAGCCAGCAAAGGAGGGGACTCGATCCCCGACATTCTGGTGGCTGCGCCATCAGGTTCAGCTCCTGGTCAAGAGCCTGAAAGCGAAATGAAGATGGTTGAGACTGCACGGAAGTGGGATAGCGCAATGTCTCGATTCACGGTGATGTGCCTCAAGTGCTCTCATGGATGTCACGCCGCACATGCACGGATGTGGTTCGAAAGACATCGTGTGTGTCCCGTTCCAGACTGTACGTGTCTATGTAACGAGTGAGGTATTCTCTCACGCTACAAACCCAACACCAGTGTCTATAAGGGAGACTGGGATTACAAAGCAAGATCCACGCGCCAGCACTTCCAAGACTTTGATGCATCCCTGGAGGGCCCATATGCCGCTGAGCAAGAAGGTGGCCTTGCAGGGCCAGACCAGTGAGAATCCCTTTTTCTCCAACAGCATCTCAAACCCTCCCCTATTCATCTCAATGGAGTGTCAGGCGTGCCATCTTATGTCACGTGGATCCACTTGGCTCTGTACTCCATCCAATTCGGAACCGCGCCCAAGCTCCGGGTTTTATCAATATATGACCCTGTATATCCGCCAGATACTAGATCCCCAACCGCTCGTACTGTGCTATAATTCTGGGCTATAAGTCTGGGCTATATTTTTGACGATATTCTCTGTACTACGTCTATAAAGATGGCGGCCGGATCCGCGTCGTCAACAAGACCCGTTTCACCAAGAAATGGAACAGGGTACTTTTTCGCCATCGTCTTTACCGCACTGTCCCTTCTTGCGGTCTACATGCTCCGGATCGCCTCCATAAAGTCAGGTGTCGCTGACAAAATGGAACACATCACGACAATCAACCACTTCACCGAACATCCGCTACCCCTTCGCACCACTTATACCGGTATAGCAGCTCTAGACAAAGGTCTCTCCTTTCTTGTGGCGGCCTTCATGAACGGTGCTGCGGGATGGGATAAGGGATTCTTCGTATTTATGATGTATTTTTTGTTCTCGTTTTTTCCGATCGTGGCTATCTGGGCGATTGAGAGTTGCAGAAAGAGGAACGTGCTTGCTCTGACGAGATTGTCAGTATTTGTCCTTTCCTTTCCCATGCACTCACCGCTGGGTTTTGGAAGCTGACGAACAAGGGGCACAGTACCACTATATATGCTTTATTCTACCAAACGGTCGGGGGAGCGATCATAGTCCCGATCTATTACCTGGCATACCTCTACGATACATCTTCAAGCAATTACTGGACCAAGCCACGACATGTCCCATTGCCATACGCCAAGGCTTTACTCCCATCATTGATCATTGGATACTTGATTCCCACGGCCCTGATGTTCCTGCCTTACTCGGCGCCCGATCTGTGGACGACACAGGCCATGGTGGCTTTCTGGCAGCCTTGTCCCGCGTACGTCGACGCGCTACTCTGGTTATTATCAAAAGTTTATTCCTACGCCGGTTCTTCTCAGGGCCAAGCCGCCGCCGCCGCCGCCCAACAAGCGAAGTACAAGAAAGCTTCTTCCACCCACGAAGCCGAAGACGTCAGATATCTCCATACAGTCTACATGGTCTCCTTCGCCGTCGCCGCTCTTTCCCATGTGGCAGTCGTCCTGACGTGTCTCCTCTCCTCCGACTCACAGCACTCATTCCAACACATGTTCCTTCCCCCCTCGGCGGGAGAGGTACAGCTCTCGTTGGTCCAGGGCATCCACGGCATCTTCCAGGCGGACTTTTGGATCATCTTCGCGGCCTCCGCGGTGTGGGCTTACCTGGCGATTTGGGATCTGAAAAGGGTGGGATTAAAGAAGGACGTGAATCTGGGGACGGCGCTGGTGGAGTTGATGCTAGGATGTGTGGCCTTGGGTCCTGCTGCAACGATCACCTTGGTTTGGTGGTGGAGAGAAGGTGTTTTAGTCAAAGGGGGGCGTGCATAGATAGGAGGCGACGCACGCGAGGGGGTTCCCCTTTTGGAAAAAGTGGCACGGCCTAACACGGTGTCTTCCTGAGCTGCGACATGAAGGAGGTATTTGTTATGAAGATAGAGGCAGCCTTGCTCTGGTCGAGGGTTATCTCTTTCTTTGACAGCAATTGTTGCTCACTCCTAGCTCCCGACTATACAATGAGCTTTTATTCTTACCAGCACGTCGGCCGCGCTGCTCGTCCTACAGCTAACTACTTTGCGCCCTGGTACGTACACTGTCCGGCTGTCCGATTGTCACTCTTTTTCCCCCATCTTGGAGCGCCAGATAGATAGATGGGTGTTGGAATCTGGGTAAAAGTGGTCAAAATGAGGGGGGAAGCTGCCAATGCGCTCATCGCCCTGGATTGGGACAGAGGTGGTGATCTCGGAGCTAACGTGCTGGCCTGGCCTGTGCCCATGCCATCTGCTGGTTGTAGTTGAAGCTCTCCGAGCCGATCCTTCGTGTTCACTCCATCGATGGAAATGGGGGTCACCAAGATGGAAGATGCTGCATCGTCAACAACCTAGTCACAAATTCTGTGCCCTCTCATTTCGGCGCCTCGAACCCCATGGGGCAAAGACCCTTGGATCGGAGTACCAGGATCAATTGGCACGAATATGAATGTAAATATGCCGCTTAATCCGTGGCGTGGAGCCGCATTCTCTGCGTGACATATTCCATCTCATCTCAGCCGCGTATCTGTGCATATATAGCACCGCCGAGCTTGCTGCTTCCCTAGGGCGCCATAGAGACGACCGATCACGTCTGCTAGTTCCAAACAACTTCGCCCACCTAAAGGAAGGAAAGGGTGCGTGAAAATAAAGTATAGCAGCCGCAAGGGAGATAGCGTCACCGTCTCTGGAAAAGGGGGTTCTGCAGAATAGAGAATCGAATGTTCATTTCCCTCCCCCTTTCCCTCCCTCCTTTCTGGCGCAGGCTCTTTTCAATTCTTCCTAGGGGAAGTGACGACATCAAGCGATGGTTCGGACGACTCGGAAGGGGAAGGCATATTGATATCGCAGTATCGGCCTTGTCTCCGCTCCTTACGTTTCGAATTGTTTGCTCTCGGAGCGATTAATGCTTCATAGCAGTGCGTGCAATATCCCGCTGCCAGATCCTCAGCGGTAGACTCGGGGCCTTCGATAAAGAAGCAACTTACCGAGTTCGATGGTTTTTCTTTCGTCAAGAGTCTTTACGACTACGTCAGCCAGATTGGGGTGATTCTCAGGATCAGCACTTACCTTTCCACAATTTTGGCAGTGGCGTACCTTGTATAGCTCATGCGGTGATTGGAGAGCTTGGGGAGGAGATTGGTATGTATCTTCAGGTCGAAGATATGGGGTTTTGCTATATTGTTGTTGTTGAGCCTCTAAGCTAGGTTCGCTCTTTGAATGCCATTTCTGGGACCTAGAATTTTGTCTAGTACAAGTTAACCCTCTCGGACTCTCAACTTATCCATGTCAGAAGTCAAGCGATCTAAGTCCGTGGATTCTAGATCGCGCCGGGACTTGATTTCTTCGCCAAATTCCTGTGCCAGCCGAGGGGGACCACCCATTCGTGGAGGTACCGGCACTTGATCTGTACAAAACTGGCCTCAGCCGCGCTTCTGTCTTTTTCCGCCGGAGGAAACACGTGGAGAAGCTCATCCATGCTTTGCACCTTCAGACAGCCTTGTTAACGGAGAATGTGCGAACTTTGGTGATTAGGGTTGGGGTCGACGTCGATGACATACCTGAAGACCCGCAGCAGCTGTTCGGGCTACTTCACGGCGACAATGACCTAAAGGAGAGGGTCAGGCCTATCTGGGCACAGAGGCGAATCAGCTGTACATGTCTGCCGTAATAGCCTGTGAAGAGGTTGTGCGCAATATAGCTGCACATATCGAGGGCTTCCTGCCTGCAGGGCATCTGGTAAGTTTCTTTACAGGCCAAAACGACAACTTTGCTTGGCCAAGATGTGCTGGAGACACAGCCGGGAAGTCTGAGTCCTTTGTCCAAGCCAATCGAACTTCCGTAGGCAATGGCTTTGATCTGAGAGCGCGGTTCAACCTGACTCTTGGTCGCTCGGATGTCGATAAGAGCATTCAGGAGCTTGACAGATCCATTCTTGTTCTCGAACGCCTGTCTGCTGCCGTGGCGGCGAATCGAGGGGCGAGCGAAGCCGCTATCTCACTCACGGCCACAAAGTTCGTAGTGGCAGTTGCGAAATCCACGGACCATGCTGCAAGGCTGTACTCAGCCATTGCCAACAGATGGATCTGCAAATTCCACAAATCCCATGAAATTAAGCTGAGGCTCGACAGAAGGCTACCAGCTCTTACCCGTGCCGCTCTCAAGGCAGACCAGTTGGCGACCAAAGGATCGGTGTTTGAGGTTGTCTTCCGCTGCGACCAGCCCCAAAATGATATCCGTTGGCATGAGAGCAAGGTCGAAATACTCGAAGAGGCTCATATCAATGGATCAGCGGCCACCTTGTCACAGCCGCCAATAGGGTCCAATCCGCGTCCGAAGGTTACAATCTCGATACCGTCGGCCGTAGTGGCTCTGCCGGCAACTTCCCAAAAAGTGGATTGCCGATGCTCCTCCCTGAACCGCGCAATTACTGCCAACAAGATGCTGCACCTGCACATTGCCTCTCAGGCGAAATTGCATTGCGACCACCGCGAATGCCCGTCACTTTCTTCTGCCGAGAGGTTCGACGTGCTTTGCTTGCGGGAGTTCCTCTCGATCCGGGGTGGTCAGTATAGGAGGATTGCGTTGAGGGATCGCATGCTTTTGGCGTTGACGCTTGCCCATTTCTCTAATGCAGCTATACGAAACACCATGGTTGGACAAGAGCTGGTCGAAAGAAGCCATTCAATTTATGAAGGTGCCGGATGGCCACGGCCAAGGCGTGTCAGCAATGGACATCGACTTCACCAAACCGGTAATCTCCCACGAGTTCTCCTCCGCGTCTCACCGTTCAGCGAAACATCTGCAACCCAAGGAGGCACTCCTTGAGCTTGGAATCACGCTTCTTGAGCTCTGGCACGAGAAGACGATCGAGGATCATTTCTCTGGAATACCCGTACCGGCCGACTATTGGGGCAAACTTCGACTGGAATCAATTTGGCTTGATGACATGACAAACCCTTTGCTCCCACAATATCGGCTTGCCGTGGCACAGTGCGTCAAATGCTTCTTCGGTGGCAGATTCTGCAGTCCTAGCTGGGACGACTTTGAATTTCGAAAGGCGTTGGTTAGGGATATGGTCGAGCCGTTGCATGAGAACAGCAAGCCATGGTTATGACAGCGGTTGCATGTACAGCTCTTTTTCTAACACGCACGACCACCCTCCGTGGCAAAATGTCTAGGGTACTTGAGGTGCTTCATGCCTCTCCGCCACATATAGCTTGATCGATATCTCCATGGGTATCTATGTTCGGAAATATTGAGCTATTGCGCCTTGCCACCGTTGTCAGTAAAAACAGGGCTTAATTGTTTCATTTGCTGTCCAAGTATGCAACTGGCAGAAGAGCTGTAGAGGCGAGTTGAGGCGATGGAGTGCAAGGGTTCGTGGTTGTAAACAGCAGCACGTGAGCGGCGGGCAGATTTGACTTCCTTGTGCCGCAAAGCAGGTAGCCAAATTTTGCCTCTTCTTGTCTCTGATATGGCCACTCTGTCTCCTTGCACTCTCGCGCATTTTTAACCGATCTCCAAGACCAGCCTATATCCGATAGAAATGAGCCTGCTGTCCCTCGACTTCTGGCGTCTTACATCTCTTCATGGTTTGTCTTTGGCGATAACTTGAAACCGAAACGCTGTTCCAAAATGACAACTGTAGCAAAGATCAAGCTTCTTCTCCTCTTAACCCTTCTCCTAGCAGGCACAGCACTCTCAGCACGGAAAACCAACCCAAAGAAGGTCCCCAAGAATGCCGTCTTGCTTTCCAAGGTTTCTGCCATCACCGTCCGCGCCGGCAAACAAACCACCTCCCGTCGAGTCTCCCCAGTGCCTCAATTACAATGCGTGGGACCCGCGAGAATATGCAAGCTATACAAGATCGATGTCATGAGATGCACCAATGAGGGTTCTGACTATGATGAAAGCAATGTCCAGTGGAGCTGCAAAGCTTCCCTGCCTGAAGAATTTAAGCTCGGAAGCACTGAAGTGACGTGTGAAGGCTACGAGAGCAGCGAAGACCCATATGTTCTTTCCGGCAGTTGTGGTGTTGAGTACATGCTTCTGTTGACAGAAAAGGGAGAAGAAAAGTATGGTTCTGGCAGCTTCTTTGACTTTCGTGGCTCTCGCGGCAGTGAGAACACGGGAGAGAAATACGCAGGCTACTTATTCATGGCGTTGTTTGGTCTGGTCCTGTTTATCATCTTGCGCGGGCTCTTCAATGCCTGGCGCAGTGAAACACCGCGAAGAAGACCGCGAGGAGGCGGTGGCTTTGGCGGCTTTGGCGGCGGTGGGGACGACAATGATCCTCCACCTCCGTATGATCCACGGCCTCCTCCACGACCAAAAAAGGCCACCTGGTTATCGGGCTCAGGTTCGAGATCGGGAAATACAGGTGCTGGGTATCAGAACCAGGGGTGGCGGCCCGGGTTCTGGACTGGTACCGCTGCTGGAGCTGCTGCAGGGTACTTAGCTGGGAGGGGTGCGCGTACACAGCCCGACCCGCCGCAAACCAGGCCGGCGACCGGTGGATGGTTTGGAGGCGGTGGAGGAGGGGTTTATGGCGCGGCACCCAGACCAGGGCCATCGTCGTCCAGGACTACCAGTTCGTCGAGCTCGAGTTATTCGAGCACGAGACATGAAAGCACTGGGTTTGGAGGCACGAGCCGGCGGTAAGAAATAGATGGTCAAGGGAGATTGTGACGTCTCCTGCGAGGTTTTTGGACTGGGGGACTTTGCGTCTTACGTAAAACGGTTTAGTTGAATTCTCTACGCACTACTCCGCGCTCTGTAATATATCTGTTATACTTGATCCCTTCGGACTTTCGATGGTCGAGGTGAAAGTGGATGTTTGACGCGTCCCTAACGCGTTGGCACGTGATTATTGGTGTTCGCACCTGGGCTGCTTCAGGCGTCAGCATTTGCTTCTCTGATTCCAACCGCCGACTCATCTTGAAATCTTGGATTTCATTTGTACGACCCTTCCCACTGACCTTAGGAGATTTTGATGTGTCTTTGCGACAAGGACAAAGAACGACTGTAGACCTGCCATCCGACGCTACGGCATCTCGCGGTCTCGTGCCTATTCCTCCCACCCCAACGATTTTGGACATTTCACCGATTGTGGCTCGTGGCGACATTGTATCATATAATGTGTCAGTCGGCGCTGATATATGGCTGATACTGGGGCATAGGTCCAAGCTTGAAAGCGTTTCCTGGTTGAATTCTGACAAAACTAGACAGCGGATGGACTTTTCTATTGCCTCGCTCCAGTGCCGAAATCATTGCAGCCATTCTCCATCAGCATGACCTGTCCAGACCACCAGCTTATCCTTTGTCGGACCTGATCTTTGCGCCAAGCAGTGCGCAAGATTCACTCCGATCTCTTGGCTTTGGATATTTGCGCCAAAGGCGTCTCATGTGTGCATCGCCAGCCAGCGTATGTCGGTCTGGCAGTTCATTTACGACAATCATCATCCCGTTTGACAAAGATCCCTTGATTGTACAACAAGGGAAACTCAGTTCATCTTTGCTACAGCGTGGTGTACGGTGCTTGATCCCCGTGCAGACGTCTTTCTCAAGATTCAACTGTGCAACATTATAAGCAACAATTGATCTGGCCTCCATCAGAGACTGACTCCTTTAAAGCCATCCCCAGACACTAAGCCTCAACGATTTGTGTATCATCTTGTCTTTCACCTTCACCTCACTTCGCACTCTACCTTTGCCGGTACTACTCTTGTGTCTTCTCTTCTCTGGGACGTGATCGTTGGAAACACTATCAACTTGCTTGGAGGAAGGGCCTAGATCCCTGCCGACATATCCAAGCTCTATCTCTCTCTAAACATCCTAGGTCCACCGCGTCTTGGACATACCACCGGGATATTTCCTGGGTGAAGTCGACAGGAGCTGACCTCGCGACCATCCACCGCACCACACCTGCTCTTTCGTGAACTAGGCGAGAGCAATGCCTCCTCAAATCATCAATCTAAGCTCTGATGACGATGAGGATTTCAATCTGCCTTTCCATTCGACAGGGAAGGAAGGGGCTGTAAATCCCACGTCAAATCAGGGTAAAACCCCGAGCGTCAGCAACAAACGTGACGTCGCGGGCAGCAGACAAGGAATGCTGGATGAGAATATTGATCTGGGCTCGCCCTTCTGGGAGATGAATGAGAACGAGCACATTCTTCACAATGCCACATCAAGAAGCTCAACCGTGAGCAGCCACACCGAACGTAGCAGTCCCAGTGAGGAGCGGCCACGTCCTACGGCACGAAGAGACAACGGCAAAGGGAAGCAACGTGAGGTTGAAATCCCGGCAATCGACTTATCTCAGCTAGATTCCGATGACGATGATGATGGTGTGGTTCTTGACTCTGGTAATGGAGACCTCAGCGAGGACGAAGCCCTGCGACGAGCCATTGCAATGTCGCTCCAAGAACAGACGCCTCGTCGCGAGTCCAACGAGAGCGCGGGTATGGGCACATCTTCAGCTTCGTCAGGTGCAGCAAAAGTGAAGGTCAAAGCAAGCGCCAGACCATTGAAGGACGTGGGCTCCACGAGAAACAAGGAGGATGCGACGACACAAACGCCAGATGATGGAACCATTTCTCCTTCGCCGTCTCCTTCTCCCGCTATCCTTTCAAACCCGCACCAGATCGCGAGGGGGCTTTTAACGCCACCATCTCCAGGGTTGACGCCAACGACATCGGCTGCTGATGTCCAAGCTTATCCTACCACAACCCGTGATGGACCCGGGAATTCTGCACCAACCCCAATTCCTAGGCCACCGTTGTCCAGTCCTAGCGACAGCACGTTTAGCCTGGCGAACCTCGACCGGCAACAAATGGAAGCGGAGCGACTGGCTCGACGGAAACGGAAGCTCGAAGGAGAAGGATCAAACCATGAGAACCAGGGCGGAGAAGGCCACAGTGCCAAAGTCGTCAAGCTCGGTCAGCCCGCGACCGCGACCGCGACCGCGACAGACTCTAAGACGCGGACGATGGAATCGACTCAAACGGGAACTCGATCTGGATCTGGATCGATACCGCCAAATCAGCAGCAGCTGACCGACAACATTCGCAGGAACAGCGGCAATTCGAACCGCCAATTGCAGTTGGCGGCAAAAAACAATAGACCGGCAGCAGCAGCACCGGTAACAGCAGTACATGGCTTCAATGCTGGACAGCGCACGGCAGCCACTGAAGCAACGTCGTCAAGCCGGAAAGCCGAGATTACTGGCAATAGCAAAAGTAACACCAGCGGTGTTGTACCGCCGTCTATGAACGCTGCACTGCCTAATCCTACACCGACTCCTCTGCCGCCAACCATTAACATTGATGATGATGGCGACAACGACGACTTCGTCAATAACATCACCGACACCACCGCCACTGCCACCACCAGCAATACCAACAACAGTGCTCTAAACCTCTACCCCGAAGGCATTGCTCTGAAAACGTACATCGCCGGCCACTCGTCCGCGGACACAATCACATTCGCGAAACTTGTATCTCCCTCGTCTCGGCTCGAGTCGTGCCTCCTATCCTCCTTCATCTGGGACTTCGACTGGGTTTTCCCGCACTTCGAGACGCGGCGGACCAAGTTCCAGCTCGTCATGCACGCGAGGGACGCCGCGCAGAGGGAGGCGCTGGTGCGGGACTTTCAGGGCGTGCCGAACGTGCGGTTGACGTTTCCGCCTATGGGGACGAACGTCAACTGCATGCACAGTAAGCTCATGTTGCTGTTTTACAAGGACGAAGGAGAGGAAAAGGGCAATGGCAATGGTGGCGCAGCAACAGCAACGGTGGGAAATAATGCCCTGGGGGGTCGGAAGAAGGGCGGCGGCGGCGGTGGTCAGAGATGTCGCATCGTGGTGCCCACTGCGAACCTCGTCGACTTCGACTGGGGCGTCGGCGACTTCATGGAGAACACAGTCTGGCTAATTGACTTGCCTGCCAAACCCCTACCTGCCTCTACCGCAAATTCGGCGTCTTTGGATGGTGCGACAGCAGGACGCTCCCCAGAGACATCGTTTGAAAAATCATTAAAAGCCTTCCTCACAGCCCAGACCGTCCCAGACGACGTGGTCCGCAAGCTCGACCTGTTCGACTTCCGCAGGACCGAGCGCTACGGCTTCGTCCACACCATTGGCGGCATGCACGGCGGCCAGGAGGCATGGCAGACGACGGGCCTCTGCGGGCTCGGTCGGACCATCACTGAACTTGGCCTGGCCGCTCGAGGAGGACCCATTCAGATGGACTACGTGACTTCTTCCGTGGGCAGCTTGAACGACGACTTCTTGAGATCGATGCACCTCGCTGCCTCAGGCGACAGTGGTCTAACAGAGTACACCATGCGATACGACAAAGGGGGCCGGGTCAAACACGGCAACTGGAAGGAAAACTTTCGCTTCTACTTTCCCAGTGACGACACGGTGCGAACGTCCAGAGGAGGCCCTCGTAAAGCGGGCACAATCTGCTTCGCCATTCAATGGTGGAATAACCCAAAATTTCCCCGGTCTAATATGTATGATTGTGTTAGCATTCGCCAGGGTCTACTTATGCACAACAAGGTACGTGTGTCGATGAAGAAGTTTCGAAAACAGGTGTCTGTCTATCGAGTGATGCCGTTTCTGCCAGGGGCTGACCTTTCTATCCTGATAAATAGCTACTGTTTGTCAGATATACTTCACCAGTCGAAAAGGCTCAGCCAGGGAATATTGGTTGGGCGTACGTGGGTAGTGCGAACCTCTCTGAAAGTGCTTGGTAAGTAGGTCGTGGACATTTGCTCCGTTCTGCCGATCTCCTGTGACCTAGGGGATGGTAGCACAGGGGGTGACACATGGTGGGGATCGGCGATCCGTGGATTCAAGCTGACATGCATTTCTGACAGGGGTCGACTTGTTCAGGACAAGGCCACCAAGAAGCCTAGACTCAATTGTCGGAACTGGGAGTGCGGAGTCATTATTCCAATCCCAGCAGTGAACAGCAGCCCAGGCATCTATACCGTCAAGGACACAGATAGTGCGGGGCTTGCGTCGTTCAATCACACTGTCCCGGTCCCAATGAGAGTTCCCAGCGAGTGTCTCGAAAACAAGATACCTTGGGTATTGTCGGAATGAGAGCGTTTCACCGGACCCCAGTAGCCAGGCCTCGAGCTTATCTCAGGGCGACATTGATTGATTCGGATGGCTGGATCGGAAATCAAGCCTTGACACGGGATTGAGTTGTTGTTGAAATGGCAAGCTTTCAGAGAGGGACGTTGTGGGAAGGGATGCATGTCGAATGTGCCGCTCGCTCTACCTGCGACACACGGCACGAATCTCGTATTTGTCTTGCAGGGGTCTCCATCATGGTCCCAAAGGCCGTAATCGGCAGTTCCGAAATTCGGCCTGGGTCTGCCCACCGGTGCTGAACGGAGGAAAGGGCAAGACACGTCAGAAGAGAACGCGAAGCCGCTCGCAGGGTGTTGCGACACAGACCAGATGGAGGGGAAAGCAGGAGGTTGGCAGGAGACGTGGACTTGGCAGTTGCTAGCCGGGAGTTCGAGTGACCGTTTTGTGGACCGCGTGTCGCTCCTGCAGTTGGATCGTCCTAATTCTACCCAGTAAATCTAGCCCCCAGTCTCTTCCATTGGTGCAGAGTTAGCCTTGGTCGTCGGTGTCTATGATGTGGCTGACGAGGTACATGATGTCTGGTCTGCGAGGGCGGGCACGACATGCCTGAGACAGAGATAGACATGGTCAGAGGCCGAGATTCGTGGATAACTCTGTCGATGATCTGATAAGCTCTCAGGTGCACTTTTGGCGATCGCTTCTCAAGGTTTCGGCACCAGTTGACCTTGCCAACTTCAGTAGTGGCCTCGCGTCTCCTCAATGGAGTGTTGTAAAAGAAGGTAAGCTGGAGCCGAAAGAGGGGTCCTTCGGCTGCGGCGGGCCGGCATTCCTTGGGGGAGCAGAGTTTTCTCTTTGTTTGACTGGCTTGGTAGCCGGAGTTCTCCTCAGCTTTGTCCGAGCCCAAGGTGAGAATGCTGACCAAAACTCTCCACAACGGCGATTCGGATCAGAGGTATATCTGAGCGGCTTGTTCATGGGTAGGAATGGGGAAGTCGCTACGACGGATCGCCCTGAGCTAACAGGTCGAAGGGCATTGAGGGAAGGCGATCGACTCAGCTGCCGTCGAGGCTGGTATTCCTTGCATGGAAAGAGGCCTGGCGAGCTGGGAGTCCTCCACAATGACAGTGGCTGGTCAACGTGAGCTTTTCCGCACACGCCGGAACTCACATGCATCGCCATTGCTGCGGGGTGCGCGAAGATGCCTGGGGCGCCAGGTTGCAGAGCGGGCGAGTGGCCGCACTTCCCCCTCTCGACTTTGGGCGAAAGCCGCCTCTATTTGCCAATGCTGGACGGCCGGCATCTGCTCTAAAGAACCGCTAATACGATTCTGGGTTCCACACACCACAGCGTGGTTCGCTTTTGCTGGATAGGTGGATCTGTTTTGATCGAAGCGCCGTTCTCGAAAGTGCCTCCGACTGAACAGGGAATGGATGGGCGGCCAGATGGAAGGATAGACTGGCTCGGATGGGTCAAGACCAGTAAGGATGAACAGAGCCAGCCGGAATACTGGCAAATGAATGCTTGCTGCGTCGTGGAGCAGAAGCTCTACCTGTAGAGGTCTAGGTAGCTCTGGTGGCTCGACTGTGACAAACATTGGTATTGGGAGCGGGAGCGCTCAGTCCCAAAATGTCAGACCAGTGGGTTGTTCTAGATCTCAGAGGGCGAATCACTAGATCCTGAATGGTAATGATTACAAGTAGGTCGTGATTCTTCTGTTTCGTGTTTTGTTGTGTTTTGTTTCTCGGTGATTGGGATGGCCTGGTGTGGCGCCTGCCCCATATCGACCACGGATCCCGACAGCCCTGGTCCGTCGTCAGCATCTGCCGGACTCAAACCAGACACGATGTTGCATGGTGTTGTTGTCGTTGACCGTCCCAGCTGCCAGCTGCTGCTCAGATTGGGATGGGGGCAGAGCGAGGAGGCCAAAGCCTGAGTGTGAGTGGCCGGCAGCAGTTACACCCAACGGCTCAGTGATCTCCCCATTGACTCCTGAGGAGCCCGTATTTCTTCTTTTAGGCGTCATTCGTATCTCCATTGCCCTTTTCCAAGGGGAATGACAATGCTGGCGTGGGTCCAGCCTCCAGCTGAGCCCGGTCGTCATCTCAGAGCTTCCCCGCCCTCTTTTGCCTTTTCGCTTCCGAATGACTCGCACCCATTTGGTACCATAGCCTTGGGAACCAACGAAATCGATGATGGCCCTCTAATGTCACCCACCTACCACCGATCGTGCGACCTCGTGTTCGCTTCCAACCCCTAAATGGAAGACAGTCGGGTCGTACAGCGAAGACTTGCGCCATCGCGTGGGATAACAGTTGTCAAATCCATGGCGAGGGGAAGGTCAAAGTTGCTGCAGGACTGTAGGACGGTTAATCCAAGTCCCAACTCGGTTTAAGACCTCGGCCCCCCGTTACGAAAGCGGTTGCACATCAGACATCTCTTGTTCCTGGCAAGCCACCTTGCTGCTGTGCCCACTAGATCGATACCAATCCGGCATTCAAACTTGGTAAATTCAGCATGTCAACTTCGCGTATGATTGACCTTTCAACGGACCTGGGGAAAGGGCTATTTTTTTGGGGGGGGACAGCCACCAAGGCCAGTTGGCTCGCTTCGGGCTGGCTGATCCCAGATCATCATGACTGCTTTTGATTTAGCCGGCAGATACACTCTCACGCGCCGCACTCTCCTCATATGTTCTGGCGCTGCTTTCCAATGTACACCATTGGTATTCTGTTGGTATTTGACATGCGGACGTGGTGTGGGTATAGTCCTGGGATAACAGTTTCAGCGGTAGGCCGGCTTTCGGAAGCGAGTTGCAGGCGGGTTGTCTGGATTGAGTCAAGCCGAGGATTATGGTTGGTTCATGTGGACAAGGGACGTTGTTACCGGCGTTCTGGACCAGCCTGAGGGCCACAGATACAGGGGTCGAAGGTGGGTCGAGTTCGATGCGGTCGACCAGCAGTGGCGAGTTCGAGCTACCGAGAAGCTCCGGCCGACGTCCCCTTCTTGTGCCGCAACAACTGACTGGCTATGCCTAAGATGATGGGGTTGAAAGCCGGAGAATCCACCAGAAGTCGGTGTACGGAGTGCCTCGTACTCGGAGCATCAACGCATCGTAACGGAGGACTCGAGTGCTTCAGAATCTGGACGGAGTATGCTGGACGAGGCCTCCTCTTCCATGCAGCAGGGGTTTCGGAAACATTCTCCTCCAGCCCGCAGGTTTGGACTGCTGGAAGCAACCAAGCAACCAAGCAACCACGCGGATCCAATTGGCACCCTGCTACTATGAAACCCTGTAAAGCTGGGACACGCAGGACAAGGTCGACAAGTGGCACATGTCCACCTGAGGCTGCCTGAGGAGGTTCCCACGGATCGGGTTACTACGTCGCTAGTGGACGATATGCGCGCTCCTGCGCTTGAGAACAGAGGAAACTTGGAAGAGGACCATGGTATTTTCAAACACCGTTCATGAAACTTCGTCGCCCCCCCTTGCCCCGGAGTCGTCTGGGGACATGTCTGCGAGCAAGACTCTCGACGACTCTGTTTGATTCGATTCGCGTGCCATGACCGAATAAGTTGCCCCTCCCCCTGGCCATCAAGCTATGATCCAGGGCTGATGTCTGAACCCCAGACGATTGTCGACATGTGTGAATCTCGGTCAACCCCCCCCAAAGGCGATTACTTGCGCGCGGCCACGATCCACCCGGGTTGCCACATCAAGCTGGACAAGTTGATAATGAATGACCACAACCAACTACTCCGTGGCCGGTCCGAGACTCTGGATCGAACACCCTCCTCTTCTGTTGTTGACCTCCCAAGACCTCCGCGCGTTGGCTCTGGCTTCCGAGAAGAAAGGCCTTGATGGTCATGAACTCATGAGTTCTCGCTTACAATGAGCCGGCACGAACCCCGGCGCTGATCGTTTCTTTGGTGGTTTCTTTAGGCGAGGACCGGACAATAGCACGCAACAAAGATGGTGTTTGAAGCAGGAAGCGCTCGGCTTGGCTTGATGGGAGGACTGTCATCGCTGTCACCAGCTCCGAGCCAGCTGTCTGCGTATGGTATTAGATCAGCGTCTTGCAAGAGTCACCTAGGGGGAGGTAAACAACAATGACACCTTCGAGGACAAGGGCACAGCAGCAGTATCCTCGTTTGCCTCCACCTCAACGACTGTCATGAAAGAAGCAGCTCCCCCCTCCCCCCCAGTGCCCCCACTCGCTAAGCAGGCTGAGTGAGGCGTGCAAGTAAGTTTGTGGCTTTGAGATAGCGCCAATCGAGCTTGTCATCTCTCTCGGATATGAAGACTTGTCCTTCAGCCCATCGGATCACGCCCGGGGCGGCGACTGTTTTTCTTTTCTTTCTATCCCTGGCAGTTGGTCAGTGTCACTGGTGGCAGCGAACAACAGGCCGCTTGGACCCAACAGGCGGTTTGTCGATAGTCGGTTAGCTCATGCTCTTGGGGCTCTGGAGCCCTGTTGATCGAACCTGAAGGAGGAAGAAGTGAACGCAGCCAGTCAAAATGAGTTGGCTCGAAAGCACCAAGGTCTAGAGGGTCCAAGGTCTTTCCAGGCCCAAGGTCCAAGGCAGCAACCTGCCTGCGCCTGCCACTGGTCACTCGTCAGGCCCCCTCCTCCTGCACTGCTGCCCTGGGACCCTGCCTACTTGCCCTGCCATCCTGCTCTTGTGCGCCCTCGTCTCTTCCCCTTCCTTTCGTCTCTTCCTCCCCCTCTTATTGCCCCATTATTCACTACAGCCAATTGTACTCCATACACACACACACCAGGGCGCGGCAGCCTTAAGCCAATACCCACACAAGCCATCAAGTCAGCTACTTATTAGATCGCACGAAAGTTGAGATCTGTTCCGCGCACGAACGGGCAAGTTCGCCTTCTCTTGCGTCTTTCTTTCCACACCACCACCCCCCTCCTCCTCCCTCCTTCTATCCCCCCTACCACATGCCGTGCCGTCCTGTTCTTCCTTGCACCTGGCAAGGTTAAATCTGGTCGGGG